AAATTTAAATCTTTTTCAGTGCATATGACTTTAAAGGTATTATTTAATATGACAAATACACATTACTATTTACAAACTCTTAATGGATTCTTTTAAATGTGGTAATGTCTAAATGGTGCAGGGAATTGGATAATTTGTGTAATAATAATAATATAAATTGTAACAATTAAATTATAATTTATTTTAACGAGGTAATTAAAAAAATATATTTTCATACAATATTGTATTGAGAATAACTTAACCAATTTCAACAAATTATGCAATTTCATTGCCAATCCTGCTTTTTCTGAAATTGCAATGTAAAAGTGCCTGGAAACAGTTATCCTGACCTACATTCTTTCCTTCTTAGTCAGTGTATGACACAGTTATATAAAATCACTCACAGAAGCAGCTAATGTAAATTGCTTAATTCCCTTGTTTGTCACTTAGTTTATCATAGAAGGAGTGGTTCAAAACGTTTAAACCGGGTTGTGATATGTATCCACATCTTTCGCATTATAAAATAGGTCATTGTTCCTTCAGAGACCCCAGCAGGGACATGACATCTCTGAAAACAAACTGCTGGCTGCAGTGGCTTACCATGACTCTGGCCCTGCTGAGTGGAGTCCCTGGAATACTGGTCGATGTGGCCCACGAATGCACGGCACCATCTACAGCCAAGTACAGATTGACGTTTACCGGCCAGTGGACTCAGACTGCCTTCCCCAAACACTACCCTCTGTACAGGCCGCCTGCTCAGTGGTCCCCAATCATTGGTGAGTGGGCTGTTCTCATATGTAAGAAGAGAGTTGTTAAGTAAAGATTATTGCTTTCAAAATTTCTACGTTTGTTGCCCCACTTTTTGGGTTATTAACTTTTTTGCATTAGTATATTATTAAATACTACAATTATTTATCTTTTTTTATAGATTTATGTAAAGTATAACAAAGTATAAAAAACTATAGAATTTTTCAATTCTAGAATTTTGAAAATAAATAACATTTGGTTACTTGGTTTACTTTATTTTGATGGTCCTTTTAAAACATTCTGTTGACCATAAGTAATGTTACACCTACATGTCTACTAACTCATTAGAGTGATAGCAGAGTACAGTATTAGTAGACTGGTAGGATTAGGGTTAGAATAAGTTGACATGTAGTTAGTTAGCAGATATTAAGCAGACAGTATCTATACTAATACTCTAATGCGAGTTAGTTGACATGACTTGCAAATTTACTTATAGTCAACAGAATGTTCAAAAGGGACCATCAACATGTTACTGGTTACTCTGCTAAATGGATGTTAAAAACAATCTGGATTGCACAATATGTATAACACCTAAAATTTGCCTGCAAGTATTTTACAAAAAAAAAAGAGTCAATTAAAGTTGACATCAAACAACATCAAAATTGTATCAGTGTAATTTTCATTCTAGGAGTAACTCACAGCTCAGACTATCACATATGGCAAAAGAACGAGTTTGTCAGTAATGGGGTGAGAGAGTTCTCTGAGAAAGGAGAGGCTTGGACCCTGATAAAGGAAGTGGAGGCAGCTGGGGAACGGATCCAGAGCGTCTATGGCCTCTTCTCAGCACCAGGTGTACTTGGAGGAACCGGCCAGGCAACTACAGAATTTGAGGTCTATGCAAGACATTCTTTAGTAAGTACACTGTGCATTGCAATATGCAGTTTTATGAAAATCCACACCATCTGACATTAAAACGAATATTAAATCCAGTTGTTTTGCTAGCTTTGCCCAGCCAAAGCTGGTCCCCCAAGCCTAGCCATGCTGTATTGTTGGTCCTGTCAGCTGGTTTAGCTGGAACACCACTGTACTACCAACCAGATAAACCATATAAACACTTTTTTAACTAGGCAGGGAGACAGACTATACCAGGTTAGACCACTTAGGATCATTAAACCACCATAGGCTGTTTTAAGCAGTTGTTATAGCTGGGGGTTTTTTTCAGTCCGAAAATATGGACACTTTCATACTGTTTTCAAAGCATTCTTTTGGAATTAGCTCTCTACATGCACTTCATTGGCCTCCCAGGCATTCCATATAAAATATTATAGAGAGAATTTTAAATAATAAAACTTTCCAAATGAAAACAAGCCAGTGGCAGTGCATACAGGCTAATGAGCAAGCTAAAACACAGAGCAACCGAACACTAATGGTCTTCTTGTTTTGCAGCTGTCCTTCATTGTTCGCATTGTGCCAAGTCCTGACTGGTTTGTTGGAATAGACAGTCTGAACTTGTGTGAGGGTGATCACTGGAAAGGAAACATAAGCCTAGATCTTTACCCCCACGATGCCGGCACAGACAGTGGTTTTACTTTTTCCTCACCAAACTTTGAGACCATTCCTCAAGACAAGGTCACTCAGGTAATGTCTAAAAGAAGATAACCTTAGAATAATTTTATGTTTTCCATCGAAAAAACAAACAAACAAAAAAAACAGCATGATTTGATGGTCTTGTTTGGTTTTGGCTTCTTTTCCAACCTAGCCAACTGAAAAGTTTCCAAAATCTCTGCAGAGCATGGTCAGCAGACCTACCTGACCAGGCTTGGAGACAAGCTGAGAACAGCAAAATAGTTTAGGCTGGTTTTAGATATGTTTTTTGCAGCAGGGTAAACTGCTTGAAAAAAAAAAGTTGGTCTTCCATTGACCAAATCCTCTCTAAAACTAGCAAACCAGGCCGCCTGGCTTGACCACCTATAACCACCTTTATTCAGCAGGTATGCAAGTCTTGTTATGGATCTGGTTACAGATGTGTCTTCTCATCAACAGATAACCTCATCATTTCCAAGCCACCCTGCAAACTCCTTCTACTATCCCAGACTGAAGAATCTTCCCCCAATAGCAAAAGTATCCCTAACAAAGATCAAGAACAACCAGATCTTCAGCTTACCCAATCAGCCAACTCAGTCCAATCTGATTCCAAGTGGAAATGAAATAGACAGATCTCTCATAAGTAAGCATTGACAATTGTTTATAATAATAATAGAATGTGTTCTATGCTCTGAATGCCTTCTCATACAGGACTTATTTATGCAAAAAGCAGAGTTAATATTCAGTACATTAGTTTGAGTCTTATATGCATGTATTCCATTTTCGAGGAAACACTACAAATCTGTAGAGAGAGCTTGTGGTTATTGAATCATGGGCTGTAGAAAGGTTTATCCATCCCCATGGTAACCAACACAACAAACGGCAAACAAGATAATGGAGGCCAACCATTTTAAAAGTTTTCTGCCACTCGGCAGTCAGGAAGTCGTGTTTGTCATGGAAGTGAAATGTGTGCTTTTTTCCATCCTTCTGTTTTCCTACTTATACAAAAGTCCAAGTCTGTGATACATATCAACCTTTGACAAGGTCAGGATTTCTGGAAAGCATCATTGAATCTGGAGATCTCGGTTTAGTCAAACAATTATTTCTACAAAATTGAAAGATTTTTATTTTGTTTTCCAAATACAATCAAGATCAAGATTTTTTTTTTTCCAAAAAAAAAAAAAAACCCTCAGAGGTTAAGTTAAGATTAAAAAAAAAAAAAAACACTCAGGGGTAAAGTTATACTAAAGGTAGCACAAAATTGATTTAGCATTTAGGCAACTTTCCATTTAAACTTACACAAATAATATGACTGCCTATAAATGAAATTATATCTATATTTGTTTTTTTAATTCTAAGATAAATCTATTTTATGCTCAGTCAACACACTCAAAAGGCAGTTTGTAACTATTTTACCTTTTGGCAAACTGGAGACGAACTGATATTCACACAATCTCATTCGTTACGCCCACTGAAGGTTCGAGGTGGACCTTCATGCTTGCTTGTTTTATAAAATGTTTATGTTTTTACCAAATGTTAATCACACGAATTCACTATCAACTCGACAAAAAAAAGAAAAAAAAAGTAGTTCTTCTAGAGATAACCGAGGTTACAACAGGTAACCGATATGTTTTCTCAGGTCTTTTGGTTGCTTAGCCTTATTAAAAGGAATAGTGCACCCAAAATTTAAAGTTTTATCTGTGAATTTTGAAGGTGCTTTTATTACGATTTGATTTTATTGAACTATGATTTTCAATATTATGTAAACTATTACCCCCCCACCCCACCCCACCCCACAAAAGTTCTTCTAAAGTTACGGTATTATTAATGTCTCATTTTTTCCCTACAGATACCCCTCTGGACTGTGAGGTGTCTGTCTGGTCACCTTGGGGTCTTTGTAAGGGTCAGTGTGGTGAGAAAGGGGTAAAACACAGAACTCGCTATATTCACATGCATCCTGCAAACAACGGGGCTGTCTGTCCACTTCTAGAGGAAAAGAAGCTCTGTATCCCTGACAACTGCGTGTGAATAAAAAGAGCTGGTCAGGACCTGGTTTAAAATGGTTAACAGCTTTAAAATGTTTTAAAACTTTTTAAAGGGAATGACTGCTTTCTGTAAGATGTAGTGGGTGAGTTAACAAGTCCCAAGTTATGAGGAACTGCAGATGTCACCAGCAAAAAAGACTTAACAATATTTGCCCTAATAGCAGGAGTTTATAGACTGAATTTTCACACACTGTCCTCATTGAGTCTAATGCTCTCTGGTGGAAGAAAGACACCAGTGACATTATCAAGCTCAATAATTGAGTAAAATCAGTAAAAATATGTTGCATCAGTGGATGATATCTGTACATTAATTGCAAAACTGTATATAAAATTGTAAATACAAAACAATAAAAACACATTTCTTCTTAATTTGTCATGTTTGTGTTTTTCTAAGTATGACAATTACTGCACTAAATTGTCCAAGTATTTGGACATGTAGTTAGGTGGACTTGGGTGTCTGAACACTTTTAATTGTTTGAAATACTGTCTTCAAACAATTACTATCTATTAAACTTTTAATCTTAATGAAGCAAGGCAGGTAATAGACTGTTTATCAACATATTTTGGTTTCTCACTGGTCTTATCATTACTTTTACCTTGTGTAAACATTAGTCTACAAACATCAGCTGCAGATTTCACACTAAACCTGCTGTGCACATAAAGCTTTGCTAGTTTCCTCAGCTAGATTGTCTACTTCTAGCTTTCCTACTTTAAAAATGAATGGTTTTACTGCAGTGAATGTTAGGCTGACAGGCCTGCTGCTAGCCAGTTTTGTCATTTTGGCTCCAGCAATGTATTTTGATTTAGGGGAACAAGAGGAAAAGTGTCTCATTGAGGAGATTCCAGAGGACACACTTGTGACAGGTCAGTGAAGATTCAACATATACATTAAGGAGAAATTTGATATTCTTTTAAAAAATATAATTAATTATACTTTTAATACACATGGAACATTGATTCATGTTTAAAGTCTTTTACTCTGTGTACTCAAGTGTTACTCTGGATGCATATTTAGGCTGTATGGATACCCTGTTATTAAGACAAATGGTAACACTTTAAAATAATGGTCCGTAGTTAACAAGTAGCTATGCAGGAAGTAATAGGTAGTACTGCATTAACACCGAAGTTAATACTATTAACTAATATGGAAGCAATATTAACTAATCATTAAGTAACAGGTAATTTAGTACAAAGGTAGTTCCTTGGTAGGTATTTGACTGTTACTAAAGAAATATATCCTCATTGAGAACTACTTGTGAACTAAGAAATAATAACCAATTAATTACTAATCACAAAAGTAACATGTCTAAAAAGTGAACAATTGTGGGGGGGTTACTCTTAACATGGTCATAACATTTCAGAAGCATGAGTTCTTTGTGGCAACAAGTTTATGAATATTACATCCCCCCAAATACATTAGCTAGGTTGAGATTGTGACTACTACTCTTGCCAGGATGGACGCATGTTCTCTGTTTATTTAAAACTTAAACATAAAATAATACTAATAAAGACAGTTTTTAAAAATAAACCTTAAATAATTAGGAAGTGATGCTGACACTCTCATGATTGGATTAGTTCACTATTATGAGCTCTATTGAATGTCAGTCACATATATCTCAGACTCCAAAGACCTATAACTTTATGTTATAGTAGCTTCCTGAGGAGGACTTCTCTTTAGCACATGAATATAAACATTGATGTTCACTTGTCAAAAACAATTTGTATCTTTAAGGAAGAAATTGGCTGCATTTATGTTACGATAAGCGCAAAACCACATCTACCAGATTACAGTGTTTGTTAGAATATTAGTGCCTCACAGAACCTGTACAGTATGTGTCAAATATAAAATTAAATTACTTGTATCATTTGTGAAAAACATGTTAACTCCTCAATAACTACTTAAGCGTTACCTTGTCATCCCGCAGGAACTACTAGTGATGTGGCCCATTATTTTAAAGTGAAAAACATGTTAACTCCTAACTAACTACAAGCGTTACCTTGGGTACCACAAGGTAACGCTTGTAGTTAGTTAGGAGTTAACATGTTTTGCGCATGTTAACTCCTAACTAACTACAAGCGTTACCCAACGCTTGTAGTTAGTTAGGAGTTAACATGTTTTTCACTTTAAAATAATGGGCCACATCACTAGTAGTTCCTGCGGGATGACAAGGTAATGCTTAAGTAGTTATTGAGGAGTTAACATGTTTTTCACAAATGATACAAGTAGTTTAATTTTATATTTGACACATACTGTACAGGTTCTGTGAGGCACTAATATTCTAACAAACACTGTAATCTGGAAGATGTGTTTTTGCGCTTATCGTAACATAAACGCAGCCAATTTCTTCATTAAAGATGCTAATTGTTTTTGACAAGTGAACATCAATGTTTATATTCATGTCCTAAAGAGAAGTCCTCCTCAGGCAGCTACTGGAACATAGTTATAATAGTGAACTAATCCAATAATGAGAGTGTCAGCATCACTTCCTAATTATTTAAGATTTATTTTTAAAAACGGTCTTTATTAGGATTATTTTATGTTTAAGTTTTAAATAAACAGAGAACATGCGTCCATCCTGGCAAGAGTAGTGGTCACAATCTCAACCTAGCTAATGTATTTGGGGGATGTATAAACTTCATAAACTGGTTTCCACAAAGAACCCATTTGAGGCACATGCTTCTGAAATGTTATGACCATGTTAAGAGTATAAAACCCCACAATTGTTCACTTTTTAGACATGTTACTTTTGTGATTAGTAATTAATTGGTTATTATTTCTTAGTTCACAAGTAGTTCTCAATGAGGATATATTTCTTTAGTAACAATCAAATACCTACCAAGGAATTACCTTTGTACTAAATTACCTATTACTTAATGATTAGTTAATATTGCTTCCATATTAGTTAATAGTATTAACTTCGGTGTTAATGCAGTACTACCTATTACTTCCTGCATAGCTACTTGTTAACTACTGACCATTATTTTAAAGTGTTACCAGACAAATTATTGTTTATGTTGCAAACATCAAGATAAATTCTGGATGCAAAAATCTGCATGCAACTGACTGGAATGTATTTAATCTGTAAAAAGTTTCTTATCTAGACAACAACAACAGCACGCAGGCTAGAGGCAATTTATGGGCTTATAGAATGATACAAACACAGTATTATTATTATTATTATTTATATAAAGATTTCCCAAATTAATTGTCATAATTAATTAAAAAAATATTTAATTATTAAATTATTAAGATTTTACAACCATTATGCTTTACAATGGCATCGATATTAAACAGGGACTGGAATATAATGGTTGTGAAATCGTAAGACCATAGTCACATTGAACTACATACAGTAATATTGTAGTATATTATGAATTTTCTGATGTGACCACCTTGCAACATGTAATGCAGCTGTTTGTGAATGTAAAATGTCTGTAGAGTTTCATGAAGCACAATATTATGCACGATATTGTCTCCCAAAACAAAGATCATTGTAACGTACGGACAGAGATGGTCGGGTCCATGCGCAGAACTGTATTACATGCAGACATAAACTCAGCCAAACAGTAACAAAGGGACAATCCAAATACTCGTGGTCTTAACAGGCGTATGTCGAGGCAGGCAGCACCGGTTCGTGAACAGTCCAGAAGGCAGGCAAGGGTCAAATGCCCAGGGAAACACGGAATACACAAACGGAGAACTGCTCAGAGATACAGTATAGACCTTTTTCACAAAAACCGGAAATACGTAATCGTTGTGGAAACGGAGTTCCCGTCAACTGGCGACACATCAGAAAATTCATTCGACTTTTGGCCTATAATCTATATTGAACTTGTGGAATCAACAATAAAATCTATGTTAATTTAATGACAAGCAGGTGAAAGAGACACTTTTAGCCGTTTAGCCCCATAGACTCCCATTCATTCTGCTCTCGCCCGCGATCACCTCCAGTGGAATTCTAATGGAACTGCAACCAGGATGATACACAACGGGGCTAATAGGAAGTGCCAAGGCTCTCCGAGACGGGCTCTGGCGCGACTGTAGAATCCGACAGGTGCGCCTTGCGCTCGCGAGAGTCTTTTGACATACGTTGACATGACATCAGAGCCAGGCGGACCGTTCTCGGACACATTTCTAACCGGCATGCATCTCGCGCTGATCACAGGTGATCGGTTCTGCGCAGATTTTGCTAATCTCAAACAAGCCTAAAGTCTTTTATTTTGAAACTGTAGTGATATCATTTCCGTCCTGAGTGCGTCATTTCCTTATTACTTATTGCGTAACATAAGTGAAAGTAAGTTTCATTCAGTAATAAGATGCAAATATTGCCATCGGACTTGTTAAGATATTGTTTACTGTTATCTGTTTTTCCTGACAAGTCTCTTATATGCATACTTTGTGTGAATTTTGTTAGTTAGACCTATGTATTAAGTCAAGTCAAGTCACATTTATTTATATAGCGCTTTTCATAATACAGATTGTATCAAAGCAGCTTCACAGTGATAACATGAAAGTAGTTCAACACAGATCAATAATATTGTTAAACATTAAATATCCCCAACTGAGCGAGCCAAAAGCAAGGCAACAGTGGCAAGGAACCAAAACTCCATCAGATTGGATGGAGAAAAAAACCTTGGTAGAACCCAGGCTCAGTCGGGGGCCAGTTCTCCTCTGGCTAACATTCATATTGTTTATATATAAATATTAAATATAAATATTGTTTATATATAAAACGGTGCCATAGCATATTGCCGGCGTTGAGTCGTCTCTTCACAGGCGTTGGTCTTCTCATCACAGGCGTTGGGGCATCCGAAATCCCAGTGAGAGGCTGGATACAAAACTGGACCTGACGAACGCCATTTTTCTCGGGACAAGCATCCCGAGATAACAGCAGAAAGGCAGATGGAAAATAATTAGCATAGCTGATGTTCATAAGGATTTCCATTATAAGGGAGTCGGTGTTAGAAAACCACTATCTCACAAACTCTCTGCAACCTTTACTCTCCGCAACCCAACCATACGTGCCGACCCGTTTGACTAAGGCTGTCGAGCCCCACTGTCGCGGAAATGCGTTTCAGTCGCAAACGGTTCCGTATGGCATGACAGAGGACTAAAAGGTAAGCATTATGTGAATGCTTGACTAAAGAGATGCGTCTTTAATCTAGTTTTAAACTGTGTCAGCGAGTCAGAGCCTCGGACTGTATCGGGAAGGCTATTCCAGAGTTTTGGAGCTAAATGCGAGTACGCCCTCCCTCCTTTAGTGGACTTGGATATCCTAGGAATGACCAGAAGCCTTGAATTTAGTGATCTTAAGGAACGATGTGGATTGTAGGGCGAAAGAAGGTCCGTTAAGTACATTGGAGCTGAACCATTTAGGGCTTTATAGGTCAGTAGTAGTACTTTTTAGTTGATACGGAACTTAATAGGTAACCAGTGTAGAGATGATAAAATCGGTGTTATATGATCATATTTTCTTGACCTAGTAAGAACTCTAGCAGCTGCATTTTGTACTAACTGTAGCTTGTTTATTAAGGATGCAGGACAACCGGCTAATAAAGCATTACAGTAATCTAGTCTCGAGGTCATGAATGCATGAACTAATTTTTCTGCATCAGAAACAGATAGCATGCTACGTAGCTTAGCAATGTTTCTAAGGTGGAAAAAGGCTGTTCTTGTAACATGAAATATGATTTTCGAAAGACAAGTTGCAGTCTAGTATAACACCCAGGTCTGTTACGATAGTGGATAAAGTAACAGGACATCCGTCTATGTTAAAGTTGTATTGTGATAGGTTTTGTGAGTAGTTTTTTTGACCAATAAGTAATACCTCCGTTTTATCTGAATTTAATAGCAGGAAATTACG